TAATCCTAACATTATTATTGGCGTTTTCAAAGGATTTTTATGTCGTGCTAAAAGAATATGCTCTCAAAAACACCTTCAAAAAGAAATTGATTTTCTAATAGACATCTTTGTTGAAAATAGCCACGACAAGAACATTCTAAATAATATTAGTATAGAATATTTAAAAAACGATTCAAAAAATACCACATTTCAACAAATAGATACCCAACTCTTTATAAAACTACCTTGGATACCAATTGTTGGTCCAAAACTCCGTAAAGAATCTCGCAAAACAAAAGCAAAACATAAAGGTTATTTTCACATCAACTCCCAATTTAAAAAATATTTTTTTCAACAATAAAACTAAACTACCACTAAACACAGACCCTGGCGTAAACCAGCTAAAATATTCATGGGGTTAGATATACATTAGCGAAACTAAAAAGAAGATGATATCGAGATGTATTGAACACCAAAAAAACAGCTTAAAAGTAAAATGGTCCAGTTCGGGTGCAACTGAGCATTCTAAAACATGCCATTGTAAGTTTGATTGGTTGCACCCCAAAACATTATCTGTAGCCCCAGAATATCGAACACGGAAAATCAGAGAGTCACTCGAAATAAGCAAGGCTAGGGTTCAACAGGAGTTGGGAAATGGTGACGTGGTTCTCAATCGGGATGACGGTGATAACGTAACAACCAAAACCTGGAGGCCATTTTTTAATAGAAACTGCTGACGTCAGTTGTTTGAAAAGTTTTTTTCTGTATTTTATTATGGCTTTTTAATGTTATCTTTTTAACGGTTTGCTTTTACTATAACGATTTTGTAACTATTTTGTTTATTACACTTGACGACGCTGATCACAATAGATCAGTGAAATATCGAAATAATTATATATTAAAGAAAAAATATATACATATTTAAAAAAAGTTTATACGCAGCCGTATTTATTGAATTCTAACCTTATATATATATATATATATATATATATATATATATATATATATATATATATATATATATATATATATATATATATATATATATATATATATATATATATATATATATATATATATATATATATATATATATATATATATATATATATAAATATATATATATATATATATATATATATATATATATATATATATTATATATATATATATATATATATATATATATATATATATATATATATATATATATATATATATATATATATATATATATATATATATATATATATATATATAAAACATTTTATACCTAATTTATGAGTGATTAATGGAATATTTAATGATAATGAAACAAAAAAGATAAAATTTTGAGCAGAACGTGTTTATGAGAAATTTATAAGCACAAAAGAAACAGTTTTAAATGTTTGGTTATGATTTGTTATTGTTTAAAAAAAAAAATTAATTTGTTTATAGTAACTGATTTGAATGTCTCAAAATGAATGTTTGCAATGATTTTTTGAGAATATGCATGCAGTATTTATTGTTTTAATCTTTAAGTTTAAGAAAAAGGTAATTTATCAGTATTCTATGAACATAAAAATTGGGAAAGAATTTGAACTAGAGGTAAATGAACCTAAAATTGGAAAAATGAATTATATTTATTCTTAAGCAAAAGAAAAGTTAAATTAAAATTTCTTTCATAAGGTCATACTGTTATATAAAAAACTTTTAAAATAATCAACAATAAATTGAACTTAAATCACTTAAAAATTAAACATTCTTTGTTCTTATTTTTTAAATAGCTTTCCTTTAATAATTTTTTTTTTTTTTTTTTATAGATGCATTTCTTTTTTTCCTAGTCAACTAACTCTTTTTAGAAATGAAATAATCTCTTTCAGCTTGTAACTTTAAAACTTCTTCCTTAAGTGTTAACTTCTCCTCTGAAATGTAACTTTCCATATCGACAGTTGACAGGTGTAGACCCGGAGTTCTTTTTTTTTTGTTCCTGACGAAGATTTTTTGAGATTACTAGTATGTTTGATTTTTCCTATATTATTTTCGTTGTCACTTTTTTCATCTGCATTACAGTGTTTGCAGTTGCACTATTTGTAGCATCAAACACAACTGGCATGGCAGAAATCTCTATATCCGATATGACCTCAATGTCATTGGTTTCAACACCTTCCAATCCTAAAAATATTGGAGAATTTTTTACGTATGTAGGTAATATTTTCTTGCTCATTCCTGATAAAATAATCGCTGGGCCTCCTCCAATTGGAACGTTTTTTGTTGCTGAAATCTCTTTTTTTGCAGTTTTTAAAAGATTATCCTATAATCTTTTCAAGCTCGAAACTGTTCTTTTATCGTATCCTAAGCTGTTTAAAGCATCAATGATCTAAAAAGTATGAAATAAATTATTTATATTTGATGAGTACTTTTTTCTATCAATGAATATGATACAAAGAATTACCTCATTCCATTTGAGATTTCTTCGCTTTTAAATTTCTGCTTTTCCATCCTTTGATAGAAAAACCTCTCATACTATGTTTACGAAAAAAATATTATCTTTTTATTATTCCTATTAAACTATAAGAATATAAAAGATAAATGTGTTAATAACAATCAAATCACATTACAGAAAAGTTATGAATATGAAAGCAAAAGATAATAAAAATTTTATTTTAATTAAAATAAAGTTGTACAAGTAATCTTCGCAACAATATACATATATTTTATATATTTCCTTTTCTATCAAACCAATATTTCTATCAGTTTTTTTAAATCAATATCAACCCTTCTTCAGTTACCATAAATTAGGTTTTATGTTTCTTTAACTAACTTAGGTTTTATGACTTAAACCAGTTTTAGTGTGGTGAAAAAAAAAAGTCCAACATTAAACGAATTTAATGATTGAGGTTTGATGTAAACAATGTTAATATATCTTGTTATTTGTAGTGTAACAACATATCCCAATTTTTAGTTACGCCACTGGCTCAATTAAAATTTTTAAGTAAACACAATATTCTTATATCTTCTGTATTTGGAAGAGGCAGAAAGCCAAATGTATCTACTGCATTGTTTCCAATTTTTGTTTTTTTTCTCCACCTATTATATTTTGTTTTTCTGTTGTTTTTTTTTTTTACTTTTTTTTTGAATTTGGGGTGGTTATCAATTGTTACGTGAGGTTGATACTTGAAAGGTAGGGAGGGGGATTTGTAGATTTGTTGTAAAAATTAAAGATTTGGGAAAAGGCTGTACTGAACAACAAAGACGTAAGGGGGGAAGGGGGTACAAATCAAAAAA